GTGTGTGTGTGTGTGTTTTAAAGAAAAAATGGTCCAATTTGTCCCTATATTGTTCGAAATTGCATAATTTTGCCCTCCGTTAAATTTTTGGTCCATATTATCCCTGCCATTATTAAAAAAAAAAGTTTTTGCCTTGACCCCCTAACGGAGCTCCACGTTAACATAATTTTAAACCATAATCAAAAGTTGAAGAGTAAATTGGAGTATGTTTGAACTTTTCCTCGGGATTTGGATACATAAAGTCCATCAATTTCAAGCTGAAACTCAGTTAATAATAGAGGATAAATACGAGACGATTTGCTAACAACAAGAATATGAATGGACCAAAAGTGCAATAAATGACAAAATTGAGCAATTTCAAATAGTGCACGGCAAATTTTGAACATTTTCCTATGTCAAATAAAAAATATTAATCTCTATGTTAATTTTGATGCTGAAGAGTGTTCAATTTAAGGAAATTTTGGATTTTGGCAGGTTAGGATTGCTAGGATTTTCAACACATATGGACCACGTATGTGCATAGATGATGGTCGTGTTGTGAGCAATTTCGTTGCACAGGTTTGTGTTTGATTATCAAATTAAAGAAAATCCCAATAGTGTATTCTTAGCATTTGATTTGATTCAATATTTACTCCTTTCATTTGAATATATAAAAAAATGTAGGCCTTGAGAAAGGAGCCAATGACAGTTTATGGAGATGGGAAGCAAACCAGGAGTTTTCAGTTTGTTTCTGATTTGGTAAATTTTTATTTCCTCTTCACTTATTCAACTCAAGTAAAAAAACAACAAAATGCAGTGCTTCTAATTCTAGGAATCAGTTTGTTACTGAGTCAATATCAACTATGTTGCTCGAACTCTTCGAAAATGACGCTTGTTGTGTAGCAGATCCTCCTAAGATAGTGCACTTTTGGAGAATATAACAACGATGCGATAATATTTTGGAAAGTTCGAACAATATAATTATCAAAAATTAGTTGTGATTTTTCTTTAAAAAACATCTATTTACTTATCAGATAATTTCTATTTGATTGATGTAATAAACAGGTAGAAGGTTTGATGAGATTGATGGAAGGAGATCATGTGGGTCCTTTCAATCTTGGAAACCCTGGTGAATTTACCATGCTTGAATTAGCTAAGGTATTACAGAAAAATGACTTTAATTAATCTTTAATTTTATTAATTGCAAGAGATTGAATCTTAAAACTCAATTTTCAAGCCAAATCTACATGTTCATGTATATCATTGACTTAGATTTCCTAGAACTAGAAAAAATGTGAATATATGTTTTATAGGTAGATATTTACCTATGTTTATATCCAAACCACATCCATCAACTTATCCATGGTTAAGTGATTTAATAATGTGAATATATATATATTTATTAACCATGATTAAATAGAATAAGTTTACGTGCAAATACATATTATGCATTTATTGATGTGGTGTAAACACGACTTCATTCATTCATTTTTACCGTTATTTATATTGTCAGATTAAGTTTCATTTTAGATAAGCATAGTGCCTTAGCCAAAATATGCATCTTGATGTTGTTATTGGGTGAAATAAGTATATCTATGAGTAGAGTTGGGTAGTTTACTAGGACCATTTTACATATACACTAGTCCTAAACATAAAGGGGTTATTGAATCTTTCTATAACCAAATAAAAGAGCGCGGAATTCGATCTAAGGCAACTGACATTAGCAAGATATAGCGCTAGCTAAGCTCTAATAGCGTTTGCCATAAAGAAGCTAGCCATAAAACAAGTCAGACGTACGAGCGATACTACAAGCAAACTTGAAAAAGTTTGAAATCTTTTATTGGACTTGACATTGATTACTTTATTTCTAGATAAATAAATGGTACTTATTAGAGCTTGTATTGGGTTAATATATTTGCAGGTGGTGCAAGAAACAATAGATCCAAATGCAAAGATAGAATTTAGGCCAAATACAGAAGATGATCCCCACAAGAGGAAACCTGACATTACAAAAGCAAAGCAACTTTTAGGGTGGGAGCCAACAGTTTCCCTCCGGCAAGGACTTCCAATGATGGTTGATGACTTCCGGCAACGGATTTTCGGCGACGAAAAGCGAGATTCCAGCAGTTTATTGACCATATAATATAGGGTTTTCTCTATTTATTGAGCCATGAAAATGGTTAAGTGGAGAAAAAATGAAAAAGAAATTAGCTAATACAAGCAATGAATTAATAATAACAAGAGAGGCTCTTTAAGAGTAGGCACTTGTTTAGAGTCTTCTTTTCTTTTTTTCTTCTTGCATCGGTCTTTTTTTTTTCTTTTTTTTTCTTTTTTTACTTATTGAACTATTTCCAAAATAAGATCCTCTATTGAAAGAGGATAGTAGAATACAAAAAGAATGTTTTTGGTACACTAGTAAAGCAACCAAGATTGCTCTTGTGCTTTTGATCAATATATGAGTCAATGTTTGATATTTTTCTTGGCCCTTGGCAATTGACATAGCTCAATAGCATTTATAAAAGAATTTTGCATAATCATGTTTATTTTTTGGGGTTTTTGGGGGTTAATTCACGTATGGATAATCGTTTTATACACTATAATAAACAAATTTATAAAAAAAAAAAATTGGCACATTAAAGACCCACTATGACAGTAAAGTTATACTCTCACAAAACTATTTTTTATCATATTAAAATAACTAAACTGTGTGTGAATTGCTTAGAAAATGTCAATATCATTTCCAAGAAAATAAACAAATCCACTTTATAAGAACTTTTACTACCCATAATTTATAAAACAAAGACAATTAAGAACTTTTCAAATTTCTACTTTGGCTCACAAGTTTTGAGATAATAGCAACAAGGACCACATAAACATTGGGATTAATACTATAACAGTACACTTTGAACAATGATGCTTTAACCGCCAAATTGTTTTAGTATAGACACTTCAAACTCTTTATGGTGTTTTAATTTTTTCCATCGACTCTAAAATTCTTCAATTAAAGATTGATTTAAGGCTTAGAAATTGAATAATAGTTCGAAAAATATTGAAAAATTATAATACGTCGATCGATATACGACGTACGGGTGATTGATAAAAACATAAAATATTTTCCAAAGTTCTCGATCCTAATGGTTAGAGAACTCAAGGTAATGAAGGATATTAGCAACTCGAGCAAGCTCCTAAGCAACATATTCTACTCTATAAGAAGAGTCATCAAGAAAGATGAATCTACTTTAAAAGGAATTTATGTTAATTGTCTAACTTCGGGGACTTTTAAGGCTCACACTAGGACAAAAATCTGATGATTCCAAGAATCCTAGAAAAGTTAGGAGTCTTCATGTAATTAAATAAACTACTGGGTCTCGAACGTAAATATCATCCTTTTCATCCAAAGGCTAAAGTCCCGATTTTTATTTCACTTTCTCTCTCTCTTGCTGCTTTTGGAAGATCCGGTGCAGTTCTGACGCTGCCGTATTAACTCTCCTCCGGTGAGTCTTCCGGCCTCCGACCTCCGTCGGCGGCGTCATCACCTCCACCATGGTTTCATCTGTATCTCTTTCTCATATTTGGTTTATAATATAAAACCTTCAAATTAATTAATTGCTTTATCGTTGTTTTTTAATTGTAAATTTTTTAATTCTATCTGAATATATTTTGTTGATTTATATTTAGTTCAGTTTTTATTCCTGTTATGAATCGTGAAAAGTCTAATTCTTTCGGAGCTAAAATATATGGTGAAGCGAGATTTAGGAATTAGGGTTCTTCGACTGGTATGTAATTGAAAGTATGTGAATTTTAAACTCATGAAATCTTTATGTTGATATATTGAGGCATATGTGGTTATACTTTTATCTGTTTGTGAGTCGCTTCGTTTTTGCCTGCAAATTGGGAAGTAATTTCAGCATCCCTGAAATTGCCTAGTTAAAAGGATTTTTGGAAACTGAAGAAGCTGTAATGGATGACTTATCAATCAACTATGCCTTAATCCTATTCTGTTTTATCCGTAGCATTTTATCGGCTAATGTTTATCGACACTTGTTTCTACCACGACCGCAGAGGCTATTTGAGTCTCCACCAAGATCACGAGGCTTTGATAACATTAGAAAAACTTGAATTTTCTTGATTAAGTAACAACGTACAAGAGGTTCTCCGTATATACAAGTCTTAGGCTGTTGACATATGGTTGGTAATCACCCTCTATGCTGATATAGATTGAAAAGCAAATGCACAATATCATAAGATATCTTATAGCACATTCTGAAAGGTTTTCATGATTCAAGTACACTGAATCTAGACACAAACAACATTAAAGTTCAATAATGCACCATCCTCTTGGCCGTACAAATGTGATCATGAGGTTGATATATTTGGTTTAACTTCTTGTCTGGGCATGTCAGCTAGTGAAATGAGAAACTTGAAAGTTTGGAACTATCGTGGTCATGTTTGAGCATTGACCAGACACTTGAGCCCTTGTGATTTTGCATTCAAACATGGGGACGATTGTTCTATTAATCTTCGTTTGAATATCAAGAAATTCACAATGCAATGTTTTCTAATAAGGGTGCTATTCTTATTTGTGTTCCACATACCTGTAAGGGTTGGGTTTCAAAAACCTAGTATTAGTTCTCCTTTACTGATGGGGTGTGGCAGACTGGCAGCTGGGGAAATAGGTGAATCATGTCAAATGCATATACATTGTTTATGTTGAAATTCAGGAAAAGTGGGTGTATAGTGAGGGAAATATTTGTAGCTTGTCAGGATGCTGATTATAGTAAAACGATAAAAGCAGGCATATGCATGAATAATATATGGTTAGTTTGTACTATTTGTGCACCTTAACTTACTGCTGAACCACAGACACAGATTTTCAGTTTCAAAATATGACATGTGAATTCCTACATATTAAGCTTATGAATTCTCAATAGTTTGCTTCCTTGCAGTTTTTGTTATTGTGGCCAAAGCTTTATGTTTTTTTGGCTCTCCTGACAGAAATGTCTGCATATGATAATGTGGTTGGCGGGAAGTTGAAACTAAAGGGGAAGGCATTGGATGTAAAAGCCGCTGGAATAAAGAAAAAGAAAAAGAAAGAAAAGAAGGATTATGATCAAATCTCCCAGGTTACAGGAAAGGAGCTTTCAACAGGTGAGTGATGATATCTCCAAGTGCATAAATTCTTGCGCTTTTAGTATTACTGTTCCTATTTACTGATTCCTCCCATCCTCTCTCTGCATTCAACTTGGTTGGAGTACAGTGAAACTGATAGATGATAGCTAGTCCATAATGGGTCGAACAGTTTATTGTTGTGATTCAAACCGATGGTCCTAAAATCCCAATTTTCTCTCATCTAATGGAAATATGCTTATGCGTGGTAGAGTATACTGATATGATAGGTAGGGCTAGAAGTTGTGATTTAACAACTATTGACCACATTAAGCCTTCTTAGGACATTGAGGAACTACAAATTTTGACACATTCCAGCAGTTTTAACTTCATTTCTTGGCTATATGTCATTCACATTGTTTCCAAACAATATCGGATGACTAACCGAGGCATATTCGACTTTCAGCCTAAGATAGAAGAGCAAAAACATTTCATATTGTATGCTTGTGGGAGATGATATATGGTTTCTCTTGTCTACCACCTCACTAAATGTTTCTGACTGGATGTAGATGGTGGTAGTGGCTCAATAGGCGATCCCACCAAGGAAGAGACTACTGATGCCACTAAATCTGTCGGTGATGAAAATGCTGGTCGCTGGGATGATAATCTAACCCCTGCAGAGAGGCGCTACATAGAACAAAGGGAGAGGATTGACATGCATAAGATGGCCAAGACTGCTAATAAATCACATCGTGACCGAATCGAAGATTTCAATCAGTACTTGGCAAACATGAGCGAGCACTATGACATTCCCAAAGTCGGTCCTGGCTAATTACGAACAAATCAGAAATTTGCTCCATCTCTATATCTTGTTTATCATTATTTTGCTTTAGCATCTTCGATAGCTACTCTTTTGCAATTTGTATTATGTAATTTAGCAGTTTCCTTTGTTAGATGGTCTCTGCATGGCATGTTGACTTTTGATGTTGAACCTAGCAATAGTGTTTGCTCAAAAGTTTACAGATTGTATGTACTTAAAATGAAATGCCTGAACCAGTTTCAATTTAGTAAAACATTTCAGAGGGTGAGTTCGAGTCACCCCAAGAGCAGGGTGGGGAGTTCTTGGAGGGAGGGAGCCGAGGATCTATCGGAAACAGCCTCTACCCCAGGGTAGGGGTAAGGTCTGCGTACAAACTACCCTCCCTAGACCCCACTAGTGGGATTATACTGGGTTGTTGTTGTATTTCAGAGGGTGGAGAATTCTCCTCAAATGTCTGTCTTTGTTTCACCTGTACCTTCTGAAGACTGGCATGTGGTAATTATGTGTGTGATTTTGTGGTTGAAATGGCTATTTTTTGAATGTTTCTATTCTATTTATGAAGATTGTGAAACAGTATTCATGAATTGTGCCAGATTTCTATTTATGTTGTGTTGAAGTTAAGGTTGACCTGCAACAATAAGATAACTCTGCAATATCAAGTCTTCTATGGTAACTTGAAAAATAGAGCAATAAGCTGCTATAATTACTTATTGAATTAATAGTGTTAAAAAAAAAAAAAAAAGTGTGTATATAACTTTAACTCTTTTTCAGTTGAACGACGGTTTAGGCTTTCCTGAGTGGGTCACTAGATATTGATTTTAGAATTTGGATCTAATCATGTAATCCAAGGAGATCAGATGTGTTGATTACTGAATATTAATCAATGCACATTTATATATTTATATACGAACTACTTAGAAATAAACAAATCCAGGCTTATTACATGGCTGATGGGATCACATTGTCCCACATTCATTAGAATAGAAGAAAATTCTTAATTGAAGAATTAACCTAAATTGTCATTCATTTAACCGCTTAAACTAAAAATAGCAGATGGATGTATAATATATGTATAATTCATATATAGTATGTGTATAACCATGTATAATATGTGTATAATCTACCCGCTTCGAAAAAATGCGGTTGGCTATTTCTCTAAAGATCCCTTAATTTCCCCTCCCCCTCTCACGCACTGACACACACATCCACACACAAAAAAACGAAGATACTAATTATCACATTTTGTATGATTTTAAGTTTACACCATCAGATTTCTTATAAGGTAATAACAAGTAAATCTCTAAAATAAAAAGTAATTTTAATTTGATAAAAATAATAACTAATATGTTAATATGATAGATTGACAAATGTTGATGGTGTAAAAATGATAACTAACCTACTATATAACAGAATAATACATAATATTGATTTCTTGAATGTGAACATGTCCTCTCTAAGAAAGAAAATAGAGTTTTTTTTAGGAAAAGAAAAGGAGTTAAGGGAAATATTTCTATATATAGTCCAAAGGCTGAAAGGTATAAGTCATGCATATTGACGTGAAGGTTCTTTTATATGAATATTATATTCAAACAAACGCGTTAAAAAGCGGTTCATCTTTTTAATGCCTCAAAAGTAAATACATAATTATTGGCGAACCTAGAAAATATATTAAGGGTGTTCAAACTTGAACAAGAAAAATAAAAATTGTGGAGAGTGAAGCTCAAATCCGCGCCCATGAGGCCCTCTTGACCACCCTTTGCCATTGAGCTATAACTCTTCATTGTTACAAGGGTGTTCAATATGTATTAAATGCATGTAAATCCAAACTTTTACCTATATACACAGTGTTAATTTTCCGACATTTTTCGACGAAGGGTGGTCAGTTGACCACCCTTGCTACACTGTAGCTTCGCCCCTGACCATAATCTATAAACTTTAACATTAAATATTATGCACTACGCGTGCCGGCAAGCGTATGTATAATTTCATAATCTTATGCTTTTATATATAGTTTGTGACATATTTTATTTAATATTTGATCTTTCAATATCAATAAAACAACAGTCAACGACGTATGAGATTGAAGTTGCAACGAAAATATTGTAGTTATTATCCGGAAGAGGAGCGTTGTAGTAACGGTAAAGTTGTTTATGTGTAACGTACAAGTCACGAGTTTGAGCCGTGAAATCAATCATTGATGCTTGCATCATGGTAAGCTGTTTACATCACACCCTCTTAGGGTGCGACCTTTTCCCGAACCCTGCGTAAACACGAAATATTTTGTACACCATGCGGTCTAGCTATATACTTTGAGAAAAATTTTACTACTAGATTTGAGAAAATTTTTAAAGCCTCAAAAGTAAATATCATAATCTATAAACTTTAACATTAAATATTTTGCACTACGCATGCCGGCATGCGTATGTATAATTTCATAATTTTATGCTTATATATTATAGTGTGTGACATATTTTAAAGCTAATACAATTTTAATATTTGATCTTTCAATATCAATAAAACAACAGTACAACGACGTATGAGATTGAAGTTGCAACGAAAATAGTCTAGTTATTGTCCGGAAGAGGAGCTTTGGAGTAACAGTAAAATTGTTTCTGTGTAACGTATAAGTCAGAAGTTTGAGTCGTGGAATCAGCCACCGATGCTTGCATTAGAGTAGGTTGTTTACATCACACCCTCTTATGGTGCGACCCTTCCCCGAATCCTGCGTACACGCGGAATACTTCGTGAATCGGCGATCCTAACTAAATATGTAATTTGAGAAATTTTGTACTACTAGATTTGTGTGTATATACATAGTGAGATGTCAAAACATATCATATTCAACTTCATCGAAATCATGGAAATGCACCCCCCCTCCCCCCTCCCCCCTCCCCCCCAACAAATGCACAGACACATCTCTGTATGTCTCTCTCACACACAGCCGTATAACTTGATATTATAAGACCAAATTAAAGGTCCCCTCTACTTATATCCCTCCTACCCAAAAAAAAAAGAAGAAAGAAGGCCAACAAGAAAAGTCAAGAAATCTCATCTCAAACTTCATAGAAATCTCAAGATGAGAAACGAAAAATGAAAAAGAATTTCTACAATGTCATATCACATAAAAAAAAGTTACTACAAATAACGTCCATAAAAGATATTCATTTGAGTTTTGGAATTTTACCGCGATTAATTTAATTTACTGGATTCGAAATCAATTGTTCGTATTTATTTAGTGAAATTTTTAATTCATATATAGAATCTTATAACAAGCTATGTATTGGGTTAGGATGAAATTGTAACTAACCCCTCCATCCGCCTGTGGCTATCATGAGATAAATACCTATTAATACCGGCAGTTTATACCAAACTAGTGAATACAGAATAGATGTATTCACAAACATAGTTATCACTAAAGCATAGAGGCAAACTTATGTTAATGGTAGAGGGGTTACCGGAACCCGTTAGCCTCGGTATATATATATATATATATATATATGCATCAACGACCCCTTATATAATTTTTATTGTGCCCCTCAAACACGAAAGCTGAGACCCAACAACAACAACATTGCTTTTTTCCTTTTTTCTTTTTCTACTAGGTACCCGTTGTACTTAAATCATGTGTCCGCTTCTGCTAAAGCATAGATAATTAATATAATTTTTTACCTTAATTTATGACTTAACAATTATAAAATAGTATAATTTGGTATAAACACCACGTAATCCTGATATATAATTAGTTAAATTCAAAATGGGCACCACCACACACAAAAATTCACACACACACTAAACGCGTAACTCAGTATTATAAGACCAAAAAGCCCCACATTTACTCATTTCCTCTTACCAAAAGACAGAATACAAAGCCAAGCCAAAAAAACAAAAGCTAAACTCATTCCACTCCCCAGAAATCTACAAACTCTCTTCACATTCACTCATATTTCTGTCAAAATCTAATCCATATTACAACATGAACATGAACATGAACATGATCGAAGAACAACGCCGCGGACCGCCGCACGGTGTCCTATTAGCGGTGGTTGTGGTGGCAATAATGATAGTTCCATCAATGATTGGTGAAAATGGTGAAGCCATTACTGAATTCATATCTGAACTTCTTAGTCCAGTTGGTTTACTTCTTTTGCCAATAATTTTACTTCTTATTATACAATTCTTGTCTTCTGATAGTGGCTCTTTTGTTTCAAGTATTTTTTCAACTGGTGAACCTAACTCTATACATAGAGTTAGCGGTTCACCTGTTGGTGTTGCTCTTGTTCTTCTTCTTGTTTTATTTCTTCTCTACAATAAATTCTCCATTTTTGGTGGTGATGATAGTGAAGATGACTGAAATAATGAGAATTAAGGCTTGCTTTACTGGTGTAATCGACCAGAAGTGGATTTAGAATTTAAATTTGAAGAGTTCAAGTCAGAGGCGGATACAAGATTTGAACTTCATGGTTTCGAGTTCGAGATTCTATCATAGCTTATGTGTTTTACTGGGTTTGAAATCTATTATTTGTACTTTTATGGATTTCAGCGTCCGAGCCAAAGCCAAAGCCACTGGATCAGGATGAACACAAAAGCAATACATCACATCCGTGTTCAACATTTAAGGTTCTTTAACACTGATTACATTGTATATTCGAAATTATCATTTCAAATTTTAGTTTAAATTGAAATTTTTAGTTATTTTTTCTCATTATGTGTTGAAAATATCGAATTCATTTGCATCCACCTTTAGCTATAACAACAATTGCTACTACGTACGTTTCAATTCTAAACTAGTTGTGACAGGTTGTATTAATATTGAATTCATTTGAATGCTGAGTTTATTCACTTCTATGACAAAAAAAAAAATTGATTAATTTACCTACTTTGTTGGGATGGTGATTTTATAGAATTTTTACAGATTATTTAAAATTAACAATAAATAAATGTCCTTTTCAACCAAAGAAAGCGGAATAACAACAACTAGTCCTTTTCAAGACTTCAAGACTAATTTGTAAAAAACAAAAAAGATGAATCAGACGCGACTTTTTTAAAGTCAGGTGAAAGATACAGTATTTAGATTTTTCTTTTTTACATTTCAAAATGCTTGTATTATTGTCCCACTCCATGTGCTAAAGTCAAATGAATCACTTTAAACATTGATATGTTATATTTTAAATGAAGTTAGCCTGGATCAACAATAAAGTTGTCTCCGTGGTTCAAGCGATGGAAGCAATCAATAATGTTTGCATTAGGGTAGGCTGTCTACATCACACGTGACCCTTCCTTAGACCTTGCGAGATACTTTGTGCACTAGATTGCCTTTATTGGCTATATTTTAAATATTTAATAAAATACTAGTTATGGATACCAGATCTGTGGTATAACATAGAGACTCCACTCTGTATAATATTGTCTTACTTGCACACTTGTTGCAAAAGTTTTTTTTCTTCTTTTTTTGTCCTTATGAAAAAAAAAAATGTTTTGCAGGTGAGTGAAAAGCAAATAAACTTCAAAGTTACATAAGACCCTCATATTCTTATAATGGTATTTACCACAAAAATTATCGACTTAAAACTACCGCTGAATAATATTAGATATTTTTTCCCCATATAACCAGGTCTTTGTGGACAAAGTTATCCGATATCTATACCGGTAAAAACTACATATATCCTATAAAGTAACCGAGGTGCACGCAAATGTTTGGAGGAGAAGTAGTTGTGGGAACTGTAGCATAGTCAAAATAGGTGAAGAGTCACACTAGAGTTGCTAAGGAGACAAGTGTGAAATTTTCAACTATTTCCATGCTATGACTGACAAGTCTCAAGATTCTAAAGTTCGATCTGTTCATCAGATCTAGGCGACAAGCCATGTGAAAACCAAAGCTATTCTCCCATTATAAATATCAGATTTCAGATCCGATGCATCAACCGAGAAAGTTACTGAGATTAAAGAAATCAAAATATAATTAACCCAATATTTCTTCTTCTTTCATTATTACTATTTTCAAAGGTTCGTAGTAACTTCGGAAGCATACTGACAAGAAACAACCAGTAGCAGATGTAAATTTTAAAATTTGAGTTTTTACAGTAATCGAAAGTTCATATTATAATAACTTAATTCACAGTTCATATATATATATATATATATATATAAAACTAACATTGTGGATCCGCCGTTGGAACCTACTAGAATTTTTTACAGTAGTATCCATGCCCATTTGAATTTGAATGGTGATCTTTCATTATTATCACTAGGCCACACAAAAAGTCCAAAATGTTACTCCATGATTAGGTCACACCCTTGGAACAGACAAAACAAAATCTAAAACCTATACTTCTCGTATGCTCGCTAACGATTAGATGACAGCTCCCTTAATTCCAATCGTCGCAAGTAGTTCATCAACTTCCAAGAAAAATATTCGAAGTTTCAAATTCCCACTTAAGTAAACACGAAAGAGAAAAGGGGAAAAAAAGAACTTCGATATTCTATCCTTGATCTAAGCAAAAGACTACTATGAGATATACTGGAGAATATTCTCTGTTTCTTACCTGACGTCTGGAACTCAGACACTTTCCCCCACCTTTTAGAGGCTTCACCCTTCACTTGGTGAGATACAAGATTCAGTTCATCTAAAACCTTGCGTCCAGTGTTTCATAGCACTTAAAAGTGTACACAAATCTTCATCCTCACCACTGCTAGGAACACTAAACATCTGGAAACCTCTCATTTAGGATTAGGAGACAAGCTCAACCTTTTTACGAGTTGCGCATTTAAATTCAATAAAATATCCCACCTAGATTTCAAGGTTGCAGCTAGGTGGTTATACCGAATATACACAGGCACGTATATGCATAATCGCACTTTTCCAAGGCTCATAGTACCTAAGATACTGTACAGATTCAATGATCTTTCAGCACATACCTCGAGCTAGAAGCTAAACTTTGAAATTTCTGCAGACGGCAAGCAGTTAAAGTTGCCTTCAACATGCTCCATGGTCTGGTGACCAAAACCTTTGTCTCTCTGAAGAATTTAGGAATAATTAGAAACACATCCACTACAGCATGAGTTTCAACACTATCAATTAGGTGCGTTACAGAGCTAATACCAGGTCATAATCTTCCTCATAAATGGCAATGCAAATGATTCCTACACTCTTATTGGGTAATAAAGTTCATATTTTTGAACACAAACAAGGAGGGGCGTTGGCTAGCTTCTACAACAAATAAATAAATCAAGAACTCCAGGAAAGCTTTGCGTGTATATTTCACTCATCATACAGTTTAACAGCCTGGATATGCATGACTAGCAAGTATACAAAATAACAAGGTTTCTCTCCAGAAGCAAGGTAATCCAAGCCCCGGAAAACTTTCCAGGCTTATTTCATTATATATTGCATTCCTTCAGTTTCCTATGACTACCAGCTGTGTTAGCAGGTTGTGGAAGCTATTAATAGATGAAGTACCCGACCACCGCAAAAATAACAATACTGGTAAATGAAAAGTTTAAATAAGGTGTCAAGCAGCCTCAAGTCTTTCTGTCTTGTCAAGCGAATAGTCATCCATAGCAAGATGAGAACGATGGCTGGTCATAACTTGCGGAAATGAAGCTTCAATACTTGCCTTATCTGCCAAGCCAAGCCCCTTTCTTCAGGGTATACAAAAATGCTCAACTAGCACCTGAAAGCTCCATCCATCTAATCAACAGACCTTGAAGATCAATAGAGCAAAAAGCATCAACATTACAACAGTCTACGATAAAATTCGAGCATTAGATCTTGTGTATACCAGACATGTTTACATGAATTACTATCATGCTTTGACTTTCAATTTACACAGGAAAATAGTTGAACTACAATTCTATCCATCCAGATAACTGCTGGCTAGGTTGCTACTAAGTATTGGGGAAAACCTTCAGAGTGGAAAAAATTTAACAAGCTATGTGCATTACAGTAATTGCAACCTAAGTTGTTCAGCTCGGGTAGGGGTGTCCGATACGGGTGCAGATCTAGAAGTCGGATTCTTCATGATCTAAATTTTAAGGTTCGGGATACGGATCCAAGTACGGATATGGGTGCGGGGATTCGGCTAAAAGTAATTCAAATATCTAAAAATAGAGTTATAAAAATATGTCTAAATTATGAAATATTATGTGGAAAACATATAAGGTATTCTGAGAAGGAGAAATTTTTATTAGGAGGAGAATCCGAGGAGATAAAAGGAAAATGACAGTAGAAACTTTTTATACAAAGTATTCCATTTTCTTCAATTTCACCCTAATGTTTGTTTTGATTTCAAAAATCAATGTATCTGTCCCGAGATTTCTCCGTTGATTTTGGTCAAAGTACCCAAAATCGGTTGACCAGATCCCGTATGGATCCCACACCCACGTCGTGTCGACACGGGTGCGGCACCAAAAGTAAAGAGTCCGAGCAACTTAGATTGCAACAATATCTCAAATAAGGGAATCACACCATTTTTGGCTAATTTTCACACTAAAAGAATCTGAAATAGTTTAAATTGGGAAGGGCCTTTATTTATATTCATGTATACTAGCGGATATCATTCAGAGATGCATGGGAAACAAGGTTGTTGAGCATTTGCGCTAGAATTGCAAAAGATGCATCTTTAACAAGACGGCAAGCCTTAGAAAAACTAAGTAATATATCAAAACCTAAGTTTCATATCTTTCAAGCATTCAGGATAGAAAGATAAAGACGAACGACTATAATTGTAGCTGCCCAGAGTATCCCTCCAACATGTCTTCCTTTTAGATACATACACATAAATTTCTCTAGGTCCTAATGATGACATAAAGCTTCCCAGAATTAACACATATTTTGTGAAGTCACTAAAACTCGGTACAGCAGCAAAGGTTTTTGCATAAAAAAAAGTAATACATAAGAAATGAAATGAAACTTAGCTAACCTCATGCTACTCCAAACGTTTGAAGCCTGTCACAGTGAGGAGTCGGGTACTTCCTGTTCCATTGTCGCCTTTGGAGTTCTATATGACAGTAACGACCAAGCATATTTTTATAATCCCTGATAACATGGTCTTCAATGTTTTCTCGAGCAGGACTATCAAGAGGATATTTCTGATCAAATTCAGGCGATTTAACAAAATATTCTACTCCATGTTCTTCTATAATCTTCCTAAACTGATATTGGTAGTTCTTCTGCAAAGAATACTCAGGCTCCGAGAAAGGAAGATAAGCAAGTAAGATGATAAGCAAAAATGGTAATAATTGAAGGAGGAGAAGCAAGTTAGGCCCAGTGGAACCTAAATCCTCTCTCTGTGGAGCAGCATTTGTTCTTGTCCTGTAAACATGAGATGTCCTAAACATATCAGAACGACCAAA